TTATTAAATAATTGCACCAACCACTCCAAAACTATATCCCCACCTGCTTTCAACATTTCTATCTTTATTCCATCAATCCCAGCTGCTTTACCCCCTTTCATTCTACTCATTATCCCACGCACTCCCCGACACTCAAAAGTGGTTCTTCTTCACTCCTATAAGACGTTATTCCTCCTTTGCCTTATACACGAAATCACAGCTTCCATATCTCCATCTACATTTAACAGTTTCTCAAAATATTCCCTCTATCTTTCTGATACCACTAATTCTCCATTGAATAACTTTCCTCTCCTATTTTTAAGTAACAAATCCATTCGTTCCCTAGGCTTTCTCAACTTATTAATTTCACTCCAAAACTTTTTCTTATTTTCAAACAAAATTTGTTGAAAACATCTCACTCACTTTCTCATTTGCTCTCTTTTTACACTGCTTCACCACTCTCTTAACCTCTCTTTTTCTCTCCATATACTCTTCCCTCCTTGCATCACTACTTTGTAAAAAACCTCTCAGTATTGCTACTTTTTCTCTCTTAACTGCTCTCTGTTACATCATCATCCACCAATCGCTCTTCTTCCCTCCACACACCCCACTTATCCACTGTAACCACAATCGTCATGCTGTACTCTCAAAACAACTATATTCTAAAACTATCCCAAGACATCATCGACCCCAATTGCGCCTATACACACACACACACACACACACACACAACCTCCACTAGCAGTTATATCTTCTCCCTAACCTGCCCGTTTGGTTTATAAACATACAACCAATATATATATATAAATATATATATCATAATATATATAGTATATATTATATATAATTATATATATTTGATATATAAACAGGCGAGGTACCACCTCTAGAACAGTTATAGGGAAACCCTCATCCTCAGAGAAAGAAAAAACATGTTTTAAAGACAAAATACATTTGACAAAAACATTCACAAAATGCACGATAGAAAGTAAAACATAGGCCAACTCAGAGCACATCTCGAATACTTGTGTCCAGCTCCCGGCGTAGGGAGCCGTCGTGCCCAGAAAAATGGCGTACAACGGCATTTTCCTCTCTGATAGACACACCTGCGAGTCTGAAAGAGGAAGGCTGGTCGACCTGTGGGTCCCTTGTTTTCTATGATGAGCTTTTTCAACCCAGCTCTATTAGGAACTTTAGAGCTACATTTGCCCATGCTCCAATGGTCACCGACCCTTACTGATGAAGTTAACAGCAAGTAGAAGGATTCTTCATATTTGCGGATCTTCTGTCTCCCTGTGTCTCAGCTCCACCCCATTCCATACTACTATATATATATATATATATATATATATATATATATATATATAAAATATATATATATATAATATAAATATATTATATAGTATGTGTGGTGTGTGTGTGTGTGATAGTGTGTGTGTGAGTGTGTGTGTGAGAGGAGATGAGAGAGAGAGAGCACGCGCATCTGTGTCTAGTGTTTGGTTAACGTGTCTTAAAAGAGCCCGTTCAACACACGATGGTCTTGAAAGCTTAATGTCACGTGTCTTCACAAGTCCCAACTTCCAAATAATTAATTGGCTTTGAGTTGATAACAGTAATCTCTAAATGTGAATATATAAAAATACTGAGTTATATAATTCCATTCATGTGGCTTGCACACTTCCTCCCTCATACACAAACAAGAGAAATAGACTAAAAATACACAGAGATGGATCACTGGATTTGTAAAAATTAACCGAGGACATACTGCCAACCTTCTACAAAACCAACCATTATAGTCTGTAAATGCCACCTTCTTCTCACCATAAATATTTTTTAAACATATTAGCGTATTACACTGACAAATAAAAAGGTTTCTATGGTTAGTCTAAAGGACATACACTGCGGTCTTAAGGCTGCGATTCTTATGATTATACCACCAGACCAAAATACTTCTCACTATAACAGGATTAAACTACCAACCTCAGAATATATATACAAAATATTATCTAGCGAAAGTGATTGCGCACAGTAAAATTACTAATTTATTAATAAAAATTAATGACTTCAAACTTTAAATTAAGAATACCAAATACAATTCTCTAATTCACCTGTATTTACATGTCGAGAGTTAGTGTTATTACACGAGTTACCAACTAATATAATAATATAATATCAAGAATATCTCTATATGTAGATATGTTGATAATGCGGTATTTTCATGTTAAATTTCTGATTTAAATAATAATTTAGCTAAGAAATAAGAAGCAGCACATATAATTTAAGAGAATAAATCGAAAGAAAGACATAGAGATAATAGGAACGCTTTGTTCCACAACATCAAGCACTCCTTTATGATCGTAACTCGTCCATCAAGCACTCCTTTGGATGAGTGTACTCTCGTCCATCAAGAGCACAAATCTTTGATGAGAGTACTCGTCCTCAAGGCCTCCACTGAGATGAGTACTACGTCCACAAGGCACTCCTTTGATGAGTGACTCGTCCAACAAGGCACGTCCTTTGATGAGTGAACTCGTCCCAGTCCATCAAGGCACTCCTTTTATATGCAACTGTACTCGTCCATCACAGCCACATCCTTTGATGAGTGTACTCGTCCATCAAGGGCACTTCTCCTTGTATGAGCGTACTCGTCCATCAATGCACTCCTTTGATGATCGTGCTTCGCTCCATTCAAGGACTCTTCACGATTGTATGATTTTGCTCGTCCCATCAAGGACACATCCTTTGAGAAGAGTGTGCTCCTCCACAAGGCACTCCCTTTGATGAGTGTACTCGTACTCAAGGCACTCCTTATGATAGTGTACTCGTCCATCAAGGCACCCGTTGCTGAGTGACTCGTCATCAAGGCACTACCTTTTGATGAGTGTACTCGACCATCAAGCAATCACTTTGAGGGAGCGTGTACTCGTCCATCAAGGGCACATCCTTCTGAAGAGTTTACTCGTCCATCAGGCACTCCTTTGATGAGTGTCTCGTCATCAAGGCTCTCCTTTGATGGAGTGTGACTCGTCCATCAAGGCACTCATCCTTTTGATGATGGTAACGCGTCCATCAAGGCTCTCCTTTGATAGTGTACTCGTCCCAAACAAGGCACACCTTTGATGAGTGTACCTCCATCACGCACTCCTTTGATAGAAGTGTACACGATCCATCAAAGGCACTCCATTGATGATTTACTCGTCCATCAATGGCACATCCTTTGATGTGTGTACTCGCCATAAGGCACAACCTTTTTATGAGTGTACACGTCCATCACGGCACTCCTTTTGGATGAGTGTCAATCGTCCATCAAGGCACTCCTTTGATGAGTGTACTCGGCCCATCACTGGAGCACAGTCCTTTGATGTGTGTACATCCGTCCATCAAGGCACTCCTTTGATGAGTGTACTCGTCCTCAGGCCCTTCCTTTGAAGATGTCTCGTCCCATAAGGCCCTACCTTTGATAGAAGTGTGCCGTCCAATCAAGGCACATCCTTTGATGACTGTACTCGCCATCAAGGCACTCCTTTGATGAGTGTCTCGTCTCGATCAAGGCAACTCCTTTGATGAGTGTACTCAGTCCATCAAGGCACTCCTTTGATGAGAGTACTCGTCCTTCAAGGCACTCCTTTGATGAGTGTACTCGACATCAAGGCACTCCATTGATGTGTGTACTCGTCCATCAAGCACTCCTTTGTATGAGTGTACCGTCCATCAAGGACACTCACTTTGAGATCGGTAACACGTCATCAAGGCACTCCTTGATGAGTGTATCTTCGTCCACCATCAAGGAGCACTCTTTTGATGAGCGTACTCGTCCATCAAGGCACTCCTCTGAAGAATGTACGCGTCCGCATCAAGGCACTCCTACTGATGAGTGTACTCGTCCAATCAAGAGCACTCCTCTGAAGAGTGTACCGATCCATCAAGGCACTCCTCTGATGAGTGGTATTCGTCCCATCAAGGCACTCCTCTGATGAGTGGACTCGTCCTCAAGGCATCCCTCTGATGAGTGTACTCGTCCATCAAGGCACTCCTTTGATGAGATCGTACTCGTCCATCAAGGCACTCCTTTGATGAGTGTATTCGTCCATCAAGGCACTCCTTTGATGAGTTACTCGTTCCAACCAGGTCACTTCCTTATTGATGAGTGTACTCGTACAACAAGGCACTACCTTGATGATGTACTCGTCCATCAAGGCAAAACTCCTTGATGAGTGTACACTCGTCCATCAAGGCACTCCTTTGCATGAGTGTAATCGTCCATCAAGCACACCTGATGAGTGTACTCGTCCACAAGCACTCCTCTGAGAGTGTACTCGTCCATCAATGTCACTCTCTTAGATGATGTACTCGTCCATCAAGGCACTCCTTTTGATGAGTGGACTCGTCCAATCAAGGCACTCCATTGATGAGTGTACTCGTCCATCAAGGCACTCCTTTGATGAGTGTACTCGTCCATCAAGGTACTCCTCTGATGACTTGTACTCATCATGACAAGAAAGGCAAATACATACGTCCCTTTGATACAATTGCATGCAGTCACAATACAAGAAGCCAGTCATACTAACCATCATGTAGGTGCACAGTCCATTGCAGCAGAGACGACCCTTCACAAGCAAATTTTCCACTTTCTTTAATTCCGTGCCTTGGATGATCAGAAACAGTATGTCGAGGATTTATCCTTGAATATAAAGATTTATTATTGTTTTTATTATAATTTATTTAGCGCTTAAAACCGTCGCGGTAAATACTACTATGTCTATAACGCTCAATAATTGCATACAAATGTATAATACAAAATTTGTATAAAAAGCGTGGCTTGAAAAATAGACTGAAAAGAAAACGATAAGATCTTCTGCAGTGTTCCTCCATTCTTATTTTCTCTCTAATAGGTGGATAGCATGAAGTTTTCTTGGCAAGTGGTGTCAGCTATGTTATAGACGCCGTTTGATCTGGTGGAATTGTTGGATGGTCATCATAAGTGATGATACCAGGATTCTTCGTATTGGAGGTTGTCCCACCTTCTCTGCGATACAGTCTTGCTTATCGTGTAGTTGATTAAATGGCGTTGTTGTAGAATTCAGGTGTTGACACAGGCCCTTCCCAGGATCATCAATCGTCTGCGTACTATGTTCTGAAATACTTTGTTGGAGGTCTCTTGCTGTTTCACCGACTTGAACACAAGGAAGCCTGTGTACAACACCGAAATTCACACAAACCATTTAATCACAAACAGAACGCAAGACTTTATCGCCAGAGAAACAAACACACAATGTCTCAGAATCCTGTATTAATCACTTAATTGTACCATCAACAACTTCAACCAGAACAGCGCTTCTATAACATAGCTGAATCCACCCTCGCCAAGAAACTTCTTCTCCGCTCCTCCTAGAAAGAACAATAAGAATCGTGGAACACTGCAGCGCTCCCACTCACGAACTTACCCAAATCTCTATTCAAAAGCTCCCAAGTGTTAAGAATCTACATCACTACCTCGAAAGATTGTCACATGCACCTTGCCTCCTTTCCCCCCCCTGACCCACATTCTCAACTTACAAATACTCACGTATGTTTCATCCACGCCATGTAAATCTGTTTTGTGACTAGATAAAGGCCCACTAGCGATGGCGAAACGTTGTCATAAAGGATCACATTATACTGCTTAACTGTTTAAATTTCCATGTGTAGTATTTTATACCAATTATTTTCCATCGAGACAAACACTCCAGTAAAAAATGAATCCTTCACACAGAAATACCTGGTCCCGTCTTCTGATAGCTTATTCGCAATAGACACAATTTATCTCTCCGGCACTTGCATCCAAGAAGGACTCAGTGTCAGTCGTCACGAGAGTCAAGAACCCTGGCTGCTTTTGGGATTAGTGTGGACGGTTACAAAAGCGCATCTAGGCTTTGCTTCTGCAGTGCTTTTAAAAATTTGAGGTTGGAGATAAGGAGGAGTCTTGCTTCTTCCAGAGGAGATTAGGAGGCTGAAAGTCCCACCTCAATGGGTCGGGGAGAGAGTGTGAGGTGGCAGGAGTTTGTGGGAATGAGCTCTCTAGCAGTAAGGAGAGCTGTCTCTCGCGTTGAGGAGCTGTCAGCTGGGTGAGGTAGCAACGGCTAGCCACAGTGAGGTGCAATCCACACCTGCAACAAGTGCGAGTGGAACACCAGTAATGGAAAGTCGCATCAGAGTAAGGAAAGTTAAAGAGAAGACTGAAGTAGAAATCGCATTCGCTGTTCTTCAGGATGAATGTTCCTTCATGGCCATGACGGTAAGGGAACTACTGCCCCCTGCTAATGGAGGTAAGCGCATTCTTGTGGTGGTGACTCTCAGGTAAGATATATGAGACCCGTGCCTTTTTAGTAATAGGAATAAAAGTAAAGACTGAGAGACAGAGTGTGCTTCCCTGTAGCTGGTGTTGAGGCGACAAAGACCACTAAGCAGGAAAAATATCACGACATGTAATGGTAACAAGCCCATTTATCAGTCTCAGTGCTGGTGGAACATGGATAATGCGTAAGAAAACACAAGGAAAGGTGAGACGAACTGCAAGATACGGATACAGGTGAGGGGGACTATAGATTACATTCAGTCTAAGAGAGGGATCCCAAACATCAGAAGCATCTTGCCTTATAAGGGGGAGTAGGAACTGACTGGTTGACAAGGCGGCAATAGTGTAAAATGCTGGTTAGGCAAAGACAGATACTGCCAGGAACTGCAAACCCAGTCATAGACACAGGAACACTTATTATTTATGGCAAACATGATATGAATGCAAGGGATGGGTACAATCACACTGGAAACGCGGGGTGTAGTGCAACTTGCAGACTCGATGAGAGGCCTTGGAGAAATGCCTATGATTTGAAAACTGATGGAAGATAGAGGTATGGGATGTGTGTGGGAACACTCAGGTTGCAACAGCTGGGATGTAAAAATTACAGTAAAAAGGCATTCATCATGCAAGTTTAATCAATAAAGACAATAATTCAGGTCATCAAACAAAAGGGACAGCAGAGGGCAGCAAGGGACAGCCCCCATAAGGTTTACTATACTAAAAGCAGGATGTAAGAAAAAAGATAGATGAGCATAAGAATTAAATCAGCTAGCGTGCAGGAAACAAGATATTATTGCTATAACAAGACCTGGCCTCAATCAGAAAGATAGAGAGGTTATGCCCTCTGAAAATTCACATACAATGCTAAAAATTATTCCACACTGACAGGGTCAAAGTAAAGGTGTGGAGAGCGATGTATGTCAGAGACAAATAAATTGATTTGATAGACCAAGATAATAAATTAGAACGTCAGCCACTGAAACTGTTTGGTTAACAGCTTTCTCGAGGCCGCGAAAACTAATTTTGGAGTGATAATACAGGGCCCACAAATCTTGATAGGGAGTGCAGTGTACCATATTGTTCATACAATGGAACAATGCTCTTATCTCCTGACTAGGGACTGACCACCAAACTTCACAAAACTTTAAGGGTGATGGACTGTATTATATCGTTTTCAAGTATCTACTGCGACTATCAACTCTTTCGTACTTTACTGAAGAAGCCTACTGTGTACGACGAAACGTAACATAATAAAGAATTACCAACCAGTATGCATAAGTGTCTTACCTACCAACAGGGAAGTGCAGTAAACTACTATGGGACGAAATTCGTAAGGCACTACATACGAAAATGATGTGCTAATGGAGATTTCAACTATCGACCCGATGACTGGAGCAATTTGACAGGAAATTTAGAGTCAGGAGAACTATCATAGAAAGATCAGGATTGTTTTTTAAAACAGTTTGTGACAAGCACAACTATGGGAAATTAACCACCATGCCTTGGTTCATGCGCCAGTAAGGGAAACACTACTATAATAAACATGAGTGTTAATGCAGATCTTGGTGAAAAGTGATCAAAAATCACTCATTTTTTTAAATATATCATTGGATTACCCAAATAAGCAAACATTCTCCGTCCCTGACTTTCGCTTGGACTGACTTTCATAGTACTGAAAAATTACTTAGGGGGAGCTGAACTGGAAATGACCGGGACACTAAGGTGACATTAGGTGGTGATGGTTGCCGACTCATGATGCTTCCAGGGCATAGTTCAAGCGCTCAGACAAAATATGTTCCAAAAGGAGACAACATCAGATCAAACAAAAATGATCCTAAATGAGAATAAACAATAATTAAAACTAACTGATTATGTCAAAAGAGAGGCTAATAGGCAAATCAAAAAGCGGAGAGGGAGCATTGAGACAAAATCGATTAAATTCGTTAAAGAGAGAAAAAAAAAAGGGAATTAGAAAAGCAAAAAGAGATTATGAGGTTAAAGTTGCAAGAGAATCGAAGACTAACCCAAAAGGATTCTTTCGGGTTATACAGAAGTAAGATCAGGGACAAGATAGGCCCACTCAAAAGTTCCTGGGGTCACTCACTGACAGTGATAAGGAAATGTGTGGGGTTTTTTTTTAAAAACTTTCCCTTCCTCTCAGTTTTACACAGGAGGATCCCAGCGATATTCCAGTAATTATAAATTATGTAGAACAGGCTAAAAATAAACTGGCCCCTTATTGGGGTCACAAGTGACATGGCCCCTTAGGCAAATAGATAATTAAAACCTAACAAATCCCCAGGCCCTATGAACTGTATGCAAGGGTTCTAAAGGGAATGTAAAGAGGAGCTTAGCACACCTTTGGCTAATCTTTTCAACATATCACTACAAAACTGGCATGGTGCCAGATAAGTGGAAAATGGCAAATGTATACCTATTTTCAACAGGTGACAGGTCCTTAGCTTCGAACTATAGACCAATAAGCCTAACCTCCAATAGTGGGAAAATTTAGGGAAATTTCAATAATTGCCGAGCAGTTCGTAGCCACCTTGAAAAGCATAAATTAATCAACGAATCTCAGAAATGGTTTTTACAAAGGGGCGTTCCTGCCTTACGAATTTATTAAATTTTTTTTCACTAAGGTATTTGAGGAGGTAGATCATGGTTAATGAATATGAATTGTGTATATGGACTTCAGTAAGGCTTTTGACAGGGTCCCACATCAGAGATATTGAGGAAAATTAAAGCACATGGAATAGGGGGAAAATTTTTTTCCTGGATAGAGGCATGGTTGACAAATAGGCAGCAGAGAGTTTGCATAAATGGGAGAAATCAGAGTGGGGAAGCGTCACGAGCGGTGTTCCACAGGGGGGCAGTGTTGGGGCCCCCTGCTGTTCACAATCTACAAAACGACATAGATGAGGGCATAAAGAGCGACATCAGCAAGTTTGCCGATGACACCAAAATAGGGCCGTCGAATTCATTCGACGAGGACATTCGGCACTCCAGGAAGATTTGAATAGACTGATGCAGTGGTCGGGAAGTGGCAGATGCAGTTTAATATAGACAAATGCAAAGTTCTAAATGTTGGAAAAGGGCAATAACCCCTGCCACCCTATAAACTAAATAATGTAGATCTTAATATTACGGATTGCGAAAAAGATTTAGGAGTTCTGGGTTTGCAGTAATTTGAAACCAAGACAACAGTGCAATAAGTGTTCGGGAATAAAAACTAATAGAATCCTTGGCTTCATATCAAGAAGCATAAATAATAGGAGATCACTCGGTTGTTCTTCAACTCTATACATCCTTGGTTTAGTTCCTCATTTAGATTATGCGCACAGTTTTTGGTCACGTGCCGTATAAACAGAAAGGATATAAAATCTCTGGAAATGTACAAAGAGTGATGACACAGTGATCCCAAGTATCAGAAACCTTACCCGTATGAAGAAAGACTAAGGTGCCTGAAACTGCTACTCTCTAGAAAAGACTAAAATTAAGGAGGATAGATTGAGGTGTATAAATGAAGACAGGAATAAATAAAGGGGCTGTAAATCATGTGCAGCAAACATATCTACCTAGACAGGACTCGCAGAAACCAATGTTTTAAAGTTGAAAAATTACAGATTCAGAAGATATAGGAGAAAGTACTGTTTTAGGTAATATAGTTGTGATGAGGTGAACAAACTCCAAAAACCGTTATAGAGGCCAGAACGTTGTGTAGCTTTAAAAACTAAATTGGATAACATACATGAGAAGATGCGTGGTGGGGTGTGATTAAGACCTGATATTATTGTGACTAACCCGGTCCGGTTGACCGGTTCCTCTCTTACAGTCAAAAGTGAACCTGACCTGACAAGGTTTGGGTGCATTGGCTTAAGCCGGAAGGAGACTGTGGACCTGTCCTCGCATGGGCCAGAAGGCCTTCTGCAGTGTTCTATCCTTCGTTCTTATGTTCTTATGTTCTTAAGAATGGTCTGTACCAAGATCTACTCCACCTTCAAAATGCCATCATACCTCCTTTTCCGCAACCGCTCGAACCTACCTTGAACGAATGTTACCGATGACATTAAAGCAATGCTACAAACGCAAGCAATTTTCTCACACAGCTACGAACACTACCCATGGCCTCTCCTGGGTCAATCCTGAACAGACGCTACTGCGAAATCTATTCGCAGCTTGAGTTACACAGCTAATGTTCAACAGAAAATCAGACCTTACTAGCAAACTCTCAACTCCCTGCGATAAT